AACTAACAGAGGGAAGACTCAGGTGTATTCAGAGCATGAGAGCCTGGATGTGGCCATGTTGAATTAGGTTAGACATGGTAGGTCAACTATAGAAAGTCCTGAGAGACACGTAGGGCACTGACCCAACTGTGTTAAACAGTATATGGGGGAAAAAAAGAATAGGACAGAAAGGCAGTTAAGAATGATGCCCCCAGGAGTGCTAGCCAACATCACACATTTACACAGAAGTTTGCATACAGACTAAACCCTCCTGAAGCTCAATTTAGAACAAGGAGAGGAATCCTTTAGCTAAAGAATAGAATAGGTGGAGGGTTTTGAAAGACTAAGTCAAATGGGGATTGAAGGCTATATAAGAATGATGGCAGCTGGGCGGTGGTGGCGAGTGCCTTTAATTCCAGCACTTGGAAGGAAGGTGGATTTCTGTGAGTTCGAGACCAGCCTGGTCTACGTAAATTCCAGGACAGCCTCCAAAGCCACAGAGAAACCCTGTCTCGAACTCCCCTTCCCCCCCCCAAAAAAAGAATGATGGCAATAAAAAATGCATACAGGCCTTTTTTGAGAAAATTGAAAAAGATTTGGTATCTTGTAGACTATAAAGATGGAGGGAGGGGAGCAAAAGGTCAGAGTTGACAATTTGGAAGATAAGACTGCCTTGCAAAAATTAGCTGGCCCCAGCCCTAAGATTAATTCCAGCTTTGTGCTTATTAACTTTTGTGCTTTTATTTATAATTGAAAAATTAAAAGAAAAAACAAAAAGCAAATGAAAAGACTCACAATACCCAAATGTTCAAATAAAGAAAGTTGTAGAACTGTGGGCTCATAGGAGTTTGTGCTCAGCTGAGCTCTGTGTGAAAAGGCCAAGTGCTTGCCTCTTATCTTCAGTCAGGAGCGTGTTCTCTGAATTTACAACTTCCTAAAATAGGAGTGAGTAAAAACAAATGAAATAGAAAACACAGAAAAATGTTTTTGAGTTAACTGTGAGGAAAATTAACACTATATTTCAAATCTTGAATATTTACACTAATTTTGAGGTATTTATATGCTTGTAGCAACAAGTAGAGTCTGCCATCCTTTACATAAGTTACATCATGAAAGTATAAATTGTTTTATAAGAAACAGTATTTGAATCAAATGAAACCATAAAAGCTTCATTGGACTCTAAAGTTGGTCTGTACCTCATTTTCCTATAATATATAATCAGGAAATCCATTTGCCATACTTTATAATTTTTGTCCTTTTAAGTGGCCAGAAGAATGTGACATCTGCATATAGTCACGTCTAAATTGATAATTGTCCAAGTGGAGTATAATTTTAAAACATGGTATCAAGAAAGTTGAATCTGTATATTAGAAGGCTGTTGAGAACTGGTGTTTCCCACCTCCTGGGCCCCTGAATTTAAATGTGACCATGCTCTCTGGTGAATTTATCTTTAGGTGGGACAGCAGCTTCCACACAGGCTAAAGCATTCTGACTGAGGAGGAGGCTGTGGTTTCCCAGCCAACTTAAATGCAGGCTCTTCTTAGCAATAAACCACACACATGTATTCATCATTGATTTCCAAATGATAGGTTTCAATATCACTGGTCTCGGGTCCACAGTCTCACATTCCTGAATCTATATTATGCCAAAGGAATAACAATTTGGTGGCTGGAAGCAGAAATGGTTATTATACGGCTCCAAAATGCTAGCTGGCACAATATGCTAAAAATAGCAGAAATTCACTCATAAAAAATAGAATTTATTTGTTCATAAAAATAACTTTGTGCTCTAAAAATACAAATATAAAAAATGTCATCATAGCTGAAAATATTTTACATTCAATGTGTAAACACCTTAAAAAATATGTAACTAATCTTCTAAAGTGGTGTAATTTCCAAGTAACAGGAAATATTTCAAGAGAGAGAGATAGAACAGTATTTAATTCAGGTTTTACTTCTGAGGTGTTTACTGAGTGGAAAACCGTGCATGTATGTTTCCTTTTTTCCCTCCTACTGCTGCCTCAAATCGCTGTTTTAAAATGTGGGCAGAAAGATGGAGGGTTTTTTGGAATGTCTCTGAGCTTACCATAGAAAATGTTTTTAAAGAGACTTTTCACAGCCTCTGTGAAGCCTTTCCATTTTCTCACACTGGCCCTGTGTTTGTCATATCTCAGGACAACACATTTCACGAAGCGGTTTTACTTCCTTTTAGCAGAATTACTCCTCCATGCAAACCAGCATCAGCTTCTACCCAGGCAGGGTTTTAGTTTCTTCTCATCTGTTCAGGCTTCATTGCACTGCTTAACTGACATTTCTTCTTCTTCTTTTGAAATTACTAGGCTAGTTTTCCATTTGATTGTTTATTTAAACCAGATCTCACCCAGGGTTAGCATGTACATGACACATGTTACTCAGTGTGTCTGTCTGAACTTCAGCAGATGGGAATGAATGCTGTAAATGTCTTGGTTTTCTCATTTCCTTTTCATCCAGGAGACTCTACAATTCAGTCTAAGGCCCTAACACAGAATAATGGTCCAGGGAGACACATTAAATACAAAACTCCTCTGTGTATCCTCCCTTACCCATCTTTCTCCTTAGGAATATAATTTGTTTATATTTCTCCTGGTGAGTAAAGGTAAATGTATTGTTTCACATAAGAACTTTTGCTACCAAACGGTGTCCAAATTAACTGTAACAGATAATTGGGTTTTGACATATTTAGCTAGCTGTACTTTAGCAACTTTTCTTGATGTTTTATTATAGAAGACTAATTTATATTCAAAGTCAGTGCAAATTTCTTAAGCAACTACTTGGTAGTTGACACATGTATTGGGGTGTTTAATTTGTTTTATTTTAGTTTTGCCTCAAGAAACTTGTTAATTTCTATCCATAATTTAATTGTAAGAGTGAATCTTAGCTGGGCGTTGGTGGCGCACGCCTTTAATCCCAGCACTCGGGAGGCAGAGGCAGGTGGATCTCTGTGAGTTCAAGCCCAGCCTGGGCTCCCGAGCGAGTGCCAAGAGAGGCTCCAAACCTACACAGAGAAACCCCGTCTCGAAAAACCAAAAAAAAAAAAAAAATGAATCTTGCAGTTTTTATACATTCAGCCTAATATTTATTCATAAAACAAAACAGGTAAATGAATTGGATATGAAGAACAAATGTGTTTTGGATCATATGCTCCAGCTAGATTTTAACCCAAAAATTATCCCCAGGGGGACAGTTTGGGAATAGTTTGGGAGCCAAAATGGGGTGGAAAGGATAAAAGAGGTGAATATATCAAAGTATATTGTATACATGTTTGAGCATGTCGTAATGAAACCATTACTTTGTACAATTAATATCCACTTAGCTGAAGGTTCTCATAAGAATCTTCTGGAAATAGTCCTGTGCTTTTCTCTGCCAACTCCCTATGTCTACCTGAAGCCATCACAGTAGTCTCAAGAATGACCCACACCACTGGGCTTTCCCAAGCCCAGGCTTTCCAGTGCCTGTAGATATCTCAGGAGACAGTTATTTCTGTTCAGAAATTCTGGGTGGTCTCTGTTTCTACCACATTAACACAGAATTCCAGACCTCCACAGTCTGACTCGCATAGTCCTCCATGGAGCACTCCTTTTTCACTGACTCCTTTTTAAGCAGATTCCTATCAGATTTCCTAAGGATGATGGGTAAAAATTCTTCCTTAGCCCTCCCTCTACCCAGTCACCCAAGTCATAGGCTTAACTGCCTCTTCTCTTTTGTTGAAAAGTAAATTAGTTCCCTAACCTGCGTTAGGCAACCTGTTCTCTTATAGAAATTGAATCATATATAATTTATACTATTCTACAGGCATCTTGTCCTAGGTAGTCTTGTTTGTTTGTACACAAGTGTGGATTGTTTTACTTTCAAAACCTTCCCAGGCTATAGCCTTGTCTTTGCCTCCTCACTGAGTAACATTTGACCTCATCTCTCTAAGAGTAATAGATACTTGCCTTTTGTGACGATGACAATAACAACAAAGTTTAACTCCCTCCTTCAGTGGCCCTTGGATAACAACTGACTAGTTATCTAGGGAGCATTATTAAATCCAGCAGTGGGTTTCTCCTATTCTCCACCAAGAAACCAGCAGATAGCTTTTTCAGTCAGCTCTTACTCCAGTTCAGTTTGCCTTTCTACCCAACTCCTTCTCTGTTTCTATCGGGGGTAGTTTGTTTTAAATGTGGGAAATGGAAGCTTCTAAATGCTCACTTTGTTAGGAGCTGAATATCAGATCCTAAAAGAACCCTAACCCTTCACAATTAGTGGCTTTCCCTGTGTCTGAATGACTCAGCACTTCACTGGAGGCATCATAGCTTCAGTGCCTGAGGACTGTCACTTTGGAAGGTTTTCATGAGCAGGAATCATGCAAGGCTTCAGGCTGTGTGCTGAACTTAGTGAGAATGGTAAACCAGACACAAGAAAGGCCATGGAGAGCATTCACTTAGATCTGGGGAGACTGAACAGCAAATGTGTATTCAGCTTCCCCTCCTCCTGCCTGCCCTAGAAATTACAGCCTTGCTGCCTTGCCCCTTCTTCATCGAAGGATGCACAGACACACAGAATAAAACCCAAACTAACGAACTGAAAGAGTGAGTCACTCCAGCCCGGCCTCCGCCAAACTAGTCAATTAAAGTGCAGGACCAATTCTGTGCTTTTCTTAGATCCTGAACTGGCTGTCTGACTTTCTTCCGGGGGAGGGGAGGGGTGAACTTAATAGGAAAAAAAAGCATATGATATGTAGATTTCTGATCAAGTTAACAAAGATTCCCTCTCTTCTCACACAAAAAAAGTTTTTAATATTCTTTCAGAGGTGTATGAAACAATTAACTGGGTTGCTGCCTTTCATACAGAGGTTAACACAGTCAGCCTATGAGCTTTTGTGTGTTCCTGTGGATGTCTCACAGTTAAGCTTTCCCTTTTATTCTCATACAGAATGTTCTTTAAAAAACATGCTTAAATCTAGATTTCTCCCTGAGTTCTGTCACTGTTTTGTATTAACAGGGAATGGATATGGCAACCCCCGAAACTCACCAGGTCTGCTGGTCTCACCTGGTAACTTGAACAAGAATATACAAGCCAAATCTCCTCCCCCTATGAATCTAGGGATGAATAATCGTAAACCAGATCTCCGAGTTCTTATTCCACCGGGCAGCAAGAACACGATGCCATCAGTGGTAATGCACAACACTGTCCTTAATACATGTTGATGATAGCTTATCTGGATGTGTTTTGTTATTCTACTATTTGTCTAGATATGAATTTCTTATGCCAGGCAGTTAACACTATTGACTAATGGTGTTTTTAATCTTATTGATGGAACTGTAGTAACTGATTTTGCATTTTCCTGTTCTATATTAAAAGAAATCCAATAAACTCTTCTTCAAGATTGTTTTTCTAGAATAAGAAAAAAAACAATTCTCCCTAAGGCTCTCTCCATTTATAGTTAGAAAAATAGTTCTAATACTGATCAAATCATATCCCATAGGAAGAGTAATTATGAAGTGCTTCGTTAAAGTATTTTTACATTGTTGAGCTATGTTCTTACGATGCTGACAGTGAAAAATACTTTCCCTGATTCCTAAATTTCTAATTAAATTTCTTATATTAATTGGAAATCCATTTCTTAGGTATCACTTCTTTAATATCTAACATACCGTATGCCTTTCCATTGTCTTGGCTCATCTTTGCCTACACATACTTTATGAAAATTACTAACCCTCAAAAGCAAGCTTTGTTAAAGCCCAAGAAAATTTGAGAACCAATGTTATATTTTATATCAAAAAATGTAGTGACATACTTTTAAGGGAAAATATAGAAATATAAAATATAGACTTCACCATATATAAAATTCTAAGGTTGTATCATTTTCTTGGTTATGAGACTGATGCCTAAGATGGAAAGAATATTGTGGTATCAAATTCAAAAACAAAGATAGATAGTTAGGTAAATAGATAGAAGATAGGTAGATAGAAGATAGATACAAAGATAGATGATAGATAGATAGATAGATAGATAGATAGATAGATAGATGATGGATGGATGACAAATGGTGTTCTCTAACTCAGCAGTATTTACCAGTGAGAACATTTATAACAAAGATTTAATAGGCAGATTTAAATCATTCTACAAATATTTCTTTCTTTCCGTTTTTTTGTTTTTTTTTTTGTTTTTTTTTTTTTTTTTTTTTAGAAATCTCTGTTCTGTGGCATGCTTAAGAGTAAAATAGTCCTGTGAACTGATTGGTTTATTATTATATTCATTTTTTTTAGTATCTAGCCAAAATCAAATAATATGTGACATTCCCTTTAGAAAAGACTGGGTCTAATAAATAAAACCTCCCACAGTGATGCAGTCGGTGTGGGCCAGGCATGACAAACAGTGTTTCTCAGCAAATTTATCCCTCATTTTTTAAAACTGATGCATTCCCATGGATTCTGCAAGTGGCAGGTCGTGTCTCTCTTCTGGTTGTCATGTGTGAGCCCCCTTCCCTCTAGCAACTAGGGTTTAAAGTACAGTCCTTTTATTTTTTTATCAAAATATGGTGGCGAAGTAATGATCATAGAGACACTGACCTGTGCTGAAACCCAGATAGATTGCCTTCCCATTAGAGACCAGCACCTCACTAAGGAAAACAAAGAATGCCTTTGTTAAGGAGATGTCTTTGGAGTCTGGTGTATAAAGCTGCTTAAACTGTTGTGTCTATCAGGGGGTGCTTCTCCTTTTGTTGAAAAGATTTCACAGTTACAAATATTTATAGACACTAATTAATAAACTCCTTCCCCATGCTCTCAGTCTGAGGATGTGGACCTGCTGTTGGTAAGTGGTATGAATGTTTCCCTTGGAGGGCATGTTCAGGAAGATAACAAAACTACTTTAGTGTAAGGTGCTAGACAGCTGTGATCAAATGGAAGGATGTTAAATTTACCTTATTGAATGAAGGTATTGATTATGCTTAAGCATCTTTAATTTCTAGGGTCTCTGGCAGGTGAAAAAGAACATCTGGCTTTTGTGGCCTTTTTCCCCTCTCCCCCCCCACACACACACCTTTTAAATAAAGGCCATGTTTTAAATATTTTCAGACTGAACTTATTCTAAAATCCAAACACAAAAATATTTCTTTAGTTATTAAACAGTAAAATGCCTATTTTTCAAGATTTAAAATATTCTAAGCGAATGCATCTTTTACCTCCTTGTTATAAGGAGTTAATTACTGGCATTAGCTACATTGCCCTCTTTGCAAGGAAGTTTAGAAGCCAAAGAAAGTGGTCAGAGCACCACCTGCTGGTCAGAATATAGCATGAACCCATAACCGTCAGTTCGACTGTATATAGAACTAACTGATCATAAAACCCACTGTGGTTGATTTTAATTTTTTTATTTGCATTTGAATAAAAACTGAAACAATAGCAGTACAGTATACATATTTCATCAGTTCTCAACATAGTCTGTTTTTACCCATAATAAAGCTATGGTACTTGTTACTAGTTCAGTTGCCTAGGAGATACTGATGTAATGGGTTACTATGGCAACAGCTGGTCTCTTGAAGGATTGTAAATGATAGGGTTGGCAGAGTTCATAGAGACACATGTTAAATGATTAATTTCATGAGCTTTGTACCACCGTATTTCTTTATGTGAAAAACTAATAGTGAGACCTAGTATTTTGAACTTTTTTTTTAAATCTGCCATCTATAATGTCCTTTTATTTACTTTAAAAGAATCAAAGGATAAATAACTCCCAGTCGGCTCAGTCATTGGCTACCCCAGTGGTTTCCGTAGCAACTCCTACTTTACCAGGACAAGGAATGGGAGGGTATCCGTCAGCCATTTCAACAACATATGGTACTGGTAAGTAGCTTTGCTATGTGCAAATATTACAGTAAACACTTCTTTAAAAAGCATATTTTAGAAGTTAATTTCTTTACGCTGTAGGGAGCTTGTGTGGAACCTGTGTCCAGAATGCACTGTACCATTACACTCTTTATGAAGGCAAAGTGATTGTCTACAGTGCTTTTTCAAGTACCTGGAAGTTCTATTTACCCAAAGTGAATTCAAAATGTCAAGAAAAATGAGCTACTATTTCTTTACTGTAATCAAAGCTCACTTTCTTGAGATTTTTAAGTGAGAAAATTTTTTCTAGACCATAAAACATGCACATACTTTACACTTTTAAACAAAGTTAGTATAATAAGCTATAACTGCAGGAGCTGTTACTTTAAATCTTTTGTGAAATCCTTACTTGGGTGAATAATATTTTTCTTTTTAAATTAAAATTATCCCTGGTGTTTTATTTTCTTCTTTTCTCGAATCAAAACCTTTGACTCAAGTATGTCTTAGAAATTGAAAATGTTTAATTTTGTTTACCATTTGACAGTTTCCAAATTAAGTGTCCCCCTTGCTGCCATCTTCATTCCTTCATCTAGAGTACTCCCTGAGTAGTGCAGACCTGTCGTCTCTGTCCGGCTTCAACACTGCCAGTGCTCTTCACCTTGGCTCTGTAACTGGCTGGCAACAGCAACACCTACACAACATGCCGCCATCTGCCCTCAGTCAGTTGGGGTAAGCAATATTTATGTCTTTCTATCGCAACCGGAGACTGTGTTTTTAAGTGATAAAGGCCTGGCTTTAACAATGTGTTTTCATATCTATTAAAGGGTGTAAAACTTGATTTCTGTGAAAGGCACTTTCAGATCACATTTCAAGTAGCTTAGATATTGCTTCACGTGTTTCTTCCATGAACAGGAAAAATAGTTAGGCCCAGTCTTTCCTTAATGTGTAAGACTCTTTTTCTTTCTACCTCTGTTGGTGATGGAGCTTTGGATTAGATTTCTGTGGGGTTACTTTTTTGGAAATTTTGAAGGTATTTATAGTTATAATTCTTTTCATATTTGAGCTGAGGTTCTCCTTAGCACAAACTACATAATTTTTTTCTAATATGAACCTAATGTTCATAGGATCAACTGTTGAATTTCTGGACAGGCTTTAAATATGTATAATGTATTCGTAGGATAGTTGTCTAGTTATATCCATTGTATTAAAATATATGTACAAATACTAATTAACACATGCAATACTAATTACTGAATTTGGCTATAAAAATAACTTTTGTTGTTTTCTGGTCAAAGTGTGTATCTTTCTGCCCCCTTGTGGTAACTTTGAGATGCATCTTTGTCATAGAAATGACTTCTGTCATTTATCTATGGAGAAACTCGAACTCTAAAATGCCCTGAATCCACAATTTACACTCCGTCTTATAACAGTTAAACCAGACTCCTCATTTTAATTTGAAACAATAATTACAGAATTCAATCTTTAAAACAAATAGGACAAAACTACTTAGAGATGAATTCTCATATTTTAGAAACATCCTACATACCCACCCCACATTCAATTTTCTATTGAGCCATTTTAGTTATGAGTTAGTAATATTAATTAACTAGTTTTGTATCTCAATGCTGAGGAAGGTCTATTTATTCAAATAAAAGTCACTAATTGCTACCATAATTTCATTGTTCTTGCCTTCTCCTCCCCCTTCTCCCACTGAACTTCATTTAGTATTGATATAACACAGATCTAAGATACCATTCAAGAGTCACTTGTTACTGCCATCCCACTGACAAATCACTGTCATTGAAAATCTAGCCTTCCATGTGCACAATTAAACAAATTTACATGGCATTATGGCTGTGCCTTCTGGAAAGAGTGCTGCCATTAAAGATGTATGAAATGTTGGTCAACAATGCTCTTTTTAAGACATTTAAATTTTCCTCCACTGCTAATGATGCAAGTAGATTCTAATTTCAATAACTTTTCTGGAAATTATCACTAAGTACATAATACTATCCAGACAATTTTTATATGTATATATAGCATTGTACTGACGTACTTGTCCATAATAAGGGGAACTGTTCCTTTCTAATTATTCATAAAATTCATCTATTATAGCACTAAATCCCATCCTCCTTCCAGGTGTTAGCCATATCAAAAAGCCATATAATGACCAGCCAGATGGCTCAATGGCTAAAGGTGCTTGTCACAAAACCTCATTAACAACCTTGACAACCTGACTTTGACTGCTGGGACCCACATGGTGGAAGAAGAGAATAAACTCCTATTGGTGTACATGCACTTGCACTCCCATACACAGAACAAATAAATACATAGTACAATTTTAAGTCTTGTCATTTTATTTGAATATCATTTTTCTTTTGCTTGTGAATGATATCAGATCATTTTTAATTGTGAGGGTATTCATATATTTGTTATTTTGACCATCCACACAATTTTAAAAATTATCACATGGGGAAACATAATTCTCTACTACCCTTAATTAAGAAAGGAGTGAGTGGTACCCCAAGACTAAAGGGAAACTGAGTTTCCAGCATCCAAGGATCTACCCTCCCTCCTTTTCTTCCAAAACCAAATCTTCTTGTGCATAATTTGAATTTAGTCTATGAACTGCAGTTGCACTTAATCACTTCCCTTACACCTCACATTTATAGGATGACCAAGTCTTCACATCCTTACACTCAGCACCACCACCCACCTCTCTCTCCTCCTCTGTCACCATATGCCTTCTCCTTCATCCTCCCTCACAGTAGCTGTTTGTGAGATGTCTTCAGATAAGCCATCTCATCTTCTTACACAGTTTTGTAGAAAACTCCAACGTATAATATCTATGTAAAATAAAGTATATAAATTGCCTTAATTCCTTAGAGAAGCAGTTCTCAACCTGTAGGTTGAAACTCCTTTGGGAGGATCATGTACCAGATATCCTGCATATCAGGTATTTAGATTATGATTCATGACAGTAGCAAAATTACAGTTATGAAATAGCAATGAAATAATTTTATGGTTCAGATCACCACAGCATGAGGTACTGTAGTAAAAGGTGGCAGCATTAGGAAGGTTGAGAACCACTGTCGTAGAGAATAAATCAGTTAAAAGGACTGATATGTTTTCCAAGTCAAAGGGTCTCACAAATTTGTGCTTAGTAGGTAGGTACTATATTTTAAGCAAAGAATCGGATAGAATTTAGTTCCACCACAGTCAATACCTCCAGAATCCTAAATGACTACTATAATTCTCTCTCAAAATTGCAAACTATAGTAAAACTCTTTATTTTTGTCCATGAAAACCGAAATGTCCACTTTTCCTTATAGCATTGTCTGCAAGGCTAGGCTTGAGAAACTACGTAGTATCTATTTTATATGATAAAGTTAGACAAGAGGCAGACACTAATTTTATATAGGAAGAGCCATTCCCAGTGAGGGAGTCACAGTTTTACAGACACAGCCCTTGACTTTTAGGTATTCTTTTGATCACTGTCTAGAAAATGACAACCTGTTTTCTGGAAGTCTGTCCACTCGATTTCTTCATTGATGAGAGTATTCAATACATAACTGAGAGAGGGAAAGAGGGAGAGATTGAATAGAGATTACTTTTAAAAGTCATGCTTCATGGCTGTGTGGTTCCAGTCTTAGTCTGGCTAATACAGTAAATTCCAGGTCTATCAGGGTTACGGGGTGAAACCCAGTCTCTAGGGGAAAAAAGGTGAGGCTCAGGGACTGGAGAGATGATGGCTCAGCAGGTTTACCTACGACCCAAGGCACCCATGTCAGATGGTTCACAACTACCTGTAAGTCTAGCTCCAGAATATCCAGTCTAGTCTCCCTCTTCCTCTTCTAGTCTCCCTAGGCATCTGCATACATATGCACCAGCTCACAAAGAGACATACACATATACTCATAAATAAAAATAAAATGAATCTTAAAAAATAATTAGGCTCAAGTGAGCCTGATGTGCCAACCTGTAATCCCAACACCTAGGAGACCAAAAACAGTAGGATTAAAGTTTGAGGCCAGTCTGGAATACATAATGAGACTGTCTCACATAGGGAAAAGGAGATAAATATAGCAGGAAAACCTAATTTTCTTGGGGTGGTAGAGTGAGAGGAACTTACATAAAGCTATCCGTATTTATTTCTGAATGATTTTGAGGAAGGGTCGTTTTCACAGTTTAAAAATCCTGTGTAGTGGATCAGACCTAGCACAGAGGCCCTGACAGGGTACCCTATACACCTGACCCTTTCCTGCCTCTCCTCCGACCTCTTTCTCACCCACTTACACCTGTAGCATCTCACAGTTGTTTATGGCTATGTTTTGTCTCTCAAGAACAAACTAGCATACAGTTAAATGGTATGAATGCCGCTTTTTCTTGTCAGAAAAGTACTCCTTTGACAGCAGAGATTAGCCACTCTGAAGTGCATTCTATACTACAGTGAAAATGAAGTTGAGACGAAGAGACCATATATATCTCTTTACTGTAGATTTAGTCCCCACAACTACACAGCTCAGAATAGGGTTTCCTATATGTTTAGTGGCAAAATGAAATCCCACCACCAGATAAACTGTTCCAGTTAGAGAAAAGAATCACCAGAAGTTCTTTGATCTTTTGGGGGAACAAGATGCCACTAAACTTTTACACGGCCATTGATTTGGGGAACTGAAGCAAATAAAAGGATATTTCAGCCTTCTGATGGCATTAAAAAAACATCCTTTTACTCACACTATTTTTAATTTAATTGACATAGATAAGTTACCTATGTGACCCAACTCACGAAGTTTTCAGAAATTTCCCTTTCTACTCTGTTTAGAGAAATGCAAATTAAAATGTCAAAGAGTGAAGGAAAGTATTTATTGATGTGCTGTGTCATTTCCAGCCTCCTAATTGACATTCGTTATTAAGCGCTCGTATGATCCACAGCAGAAGCGTTTAATTAAATGTTAGTGAAATGGTTTTTCTTACCCAGAGCCAGGAAAACTCTTTCTTCCAGAAATCAAAAGAGGATTTCCTCAAACATCAAAATGAATCATTAAGTAACTTTGAACCAGTATAAAATAGTCCACCATTATGGAGCCTTTGAAATACAGGTGTTTTCCTGCCCCCATCTCAACGTATTCTTGATTTAAAGACCATTTAATTAAAAGTCTCAGAAAATTAAGAACTAATACAATCTAAAGTAACAAGCTTCAGATAAATAGTTCCATAAATAAACAAAGATAGAAGCCATGTGCAATGGGACTGTGATCTTGGTCTAAGGGCTCAGATTGCCAAAGAAAGAAGGGCTCATTAAAACAGCAAGGAATTCTCTTTATATTGTCCTCCATGTTAGCCCATCTATTAATAAGAGGGAAGTAATTCCTTGCCAGTAGGTGGTGCTTTTGTATAAAACATTACTCAAAGATAAATTCGTTTCTGACTAATTTTATATCTGTGCATCCTAATCCTTACCGAATCTCCCAAAAGGCCAGCCCCAAATTATTCCACTTTTCTCTGAAATATACTCACACTGTTTCCCTGCTTCGAAAGATACATCTAGTTCTCCCATTAGAAAGCAGCATGATTACATACATGAATAGGTAGGCTTAGTTTCTTTTGTTTCAAATTTGTGTGGCTGTACAGATGATTATTTTCTGTGAGTATCCCTCAGTTAAAGCAACTACTGTACTTTCTTGACAGTGCAGTTGGGTCAGCTTGGCTTTGGCAATCAGAATGCAACAACAACAACAAAAACATCTTAAAGATGATGCAAGGTGACCACAGTTTGCTCTGATCAAAGTCACTGATTGCCGAGCAAGGCTTAGAGGCTTAGTCCTTCTCTCTCCAGAATATCCTGTCTAAAGTCTCCCAGAAAACACTCTTTGGGAATCAGTGTGGGTCAGGATAGTAATAGCACGCTCCATTCTTCTCTGACACACCCTTTCCTTAAGAAACAGCAGATTCACCAAATAATAATAGTTATAAATAAGAGAAGTGCAGCCCTAAATACCCCATCGTTTCTACTGCTTAGCCAGAGTAAGGTCAGAGGAAATGGTACTACAAACAAGGTTTTTATCCCATGCAACTCCAAAGGATAAAGAAATCCCAGCTCTGTATCAGTTTTAGTGAGATGTTTTAAACTGGTGTTTAAATTTCCTGCAGATAATGATCAGTCCTTTTTCCCCTCCTTTGCCCTTCCAAGCTTTACATCAGTTATCTATACTATATAACATTTGATATGTTCTGTTCATTTGAAATTCAAACTGTTCACTTTCCCTTAGTACTAAATAACTCCACCTGTATGGACATATTAATTGAAAGGAGAGGAAGCTTATATCAATATAAGATTTTAAAAATAATTTTCAAATGCAGGCATTAGTAAACCAAGAGAGGCTGGTTTAAAGCCAAGCACCATCCCCCAAGGCTTAGAAAATGAAAGATTGGAAATTGTACAGGGAAAATTCCATGACCACAGAATGGCTTTTGTATCATGTCGCAAACCTTTACAAAAAGGAAAACTATATGGTTTCAGAGTCTTTGGGGGTTACAGATCATTCATAAGGCCTGAGCCAGTTAAGTAGCATGTTTCCCACCAGGCACAGGCATTCTCCACCGCTCTAGGCTGTGACGCCACTCGGTGCCTAGCTGCCCTTCTCACTTGGGCGTGCACTAGAGTCTATGCAAGTCGTTAAGCTGATATGTTTGTAATGTGAGTTCCTGGGGCCTGCAGGCCTCCTCCATCTGTAACTGGGTTTCCTTTCCTCCTACAGAGCTTGCACTAGCACTCATTTATCTCAGAGTTCAAATCTCTCCCTGCCTTCTACTCAAAGCCTCAACATCAAGTCAGAACCTGTTTCTCCTCCTAGAGACCGTACCACCACCCCTTCGAGATACCCACAACACACGCGCCACGAGGCGGGGAGGTCTCCTGTTGATAGCTTGAGCAGCTGTAGCAGTTCCTACGATGGGAGCGACCGAGAGGATCACCGGAACGAATTCCACTCCCCCATTGGACTCACCAGACCTTCGCCGGACGAAAGGGAAAGTCCCTCAGTCAAGCGCATGCGACTCTCTGAAGGATGGGCAACATGATCACATTATTACTTAATAGTTTTTTTTTTTCTTGCAGTGTGTGTGTGTGCTATACCTTAATGGGGAAGGGGGGTCGATATGCATTATATGTGCCGTGTGTGGAAAAAAAAAAACCGTCAGGTACTCTGTTTTGTAAAAGTACTTTTAAATTGCCTCAGTGATACAGTATAAAGATAAACAGAAATGCTGAGATAAGCTTAGCACTTGAGTTGTACAACAGAACACTTGTACAAAATAGATTTTAAGGCTAACTTCTCTTCACTGTTGTGCTCCTTTGCAAAATGTATGTTACAATAGATAGTGTCATGTTGCAGGTTCAACGTTATTTACATGTAAATAGACAAAAGGAAACATTTGCCAAAAGCGGCAGATCTTTACTGAAAGAGAGCAGCTGTTATGCAACATATAGAAAAATGTATAGACGTTTGGACAGACCCGGCAAGGGGTGGCCATTGGTAAATGTTAGGAACATGCCCGGTCACCTAACATCCCGAGGAAGCTCACAAACCTGCAGGCATATCATTGGTGTATGGCACTCATTCAAAAGGATCAGAAACCATTCAAAGAGGACCATACCTACTTTAAAAGAAAAGAAAAGAAAAAAAGAAAAAACAAAACAACAAAAAATGTACAAAAAAAAAAACAGTGTGGCGTTTGAGAGCTAACGTATTTAATTAAATAAATAAATCTGGGTCTGCATCTCTTATTAAATAAAAAATATAAAAATATGTACATTACATTTTGCTTATTTTCATATAAAAGGTAAGAAAGAGTTTGCAAAGCATTTGTGGCTTTTTGTAGTTTACTTAAGCCAAAATGTGTTTTTTCCCCTCAATAGCTTCGCTAATATTTTAAACAGTCCTGTAAAACCCACAGAGGACTTTTTGTATAGAAAGCACTACCCTAAGCCATGAGGAACTCCATGCTTTGCTAACCAACATAACTGTTTTCTCTTTGTAGAAGTTTTGTTTTTGAAATGTGTATTTCTAATTATATAAAATATTAAGAATCTTTTAAAAATCTGTGAAATTAACATGCTTGTGTATAGCTTTCTAATATATATAATATTATGGTAATGGCAGAAGTTTTGTTTTCTTAGTGGGAGGGGGGTATATTTGTGCAGTTGCACACTTGAGTAACTATTTTCTTTCTGATTTCTTTTACTCTGCACACATTTTATAAGTTCAAGGTCAGCTGTCAAAAGGATAACCTGTGGGGTTAGAGCATATTACATTGCAACATCCTAAATTGTTTTTAGAATGTCAACAAATTATAGGTCAACTGACATCCATTGTATATACTAATTGGTTTCTTTCAAACTATTTTTGTTTTGTTTTGTTTTGTTTTTTGCATTTTATCAAAAGCAGGGCCCCTTTCAGATCTCTCCATTTCACCACGAATCTTGGAATTGAGTAAGTTCATATCCTAACTCGCCCATATTCTAAATTACATGGTTCATGTTCAGCCTTGAATTTGATGTTTCTTAGAAATATGCCCAGAGTAAGTTGGGTCACATGTCCTGCAAGTTGGGCCCTAGGAACAAGAGATGTGAGTTTACTTGGTGGATAAGTTACAGATTTCTATAGAAGAAAAATGTGAAAGACTGGGTGCTACAAGGGAGGAAAACAGTTAAGGGATGGTTACTTGTCGTCCACCTTCGAGATTTTAACTGACCTGTTGAACAGCCTGGTGTGTCAGGACCCCCAATGTCACTTCTGCATAAAGCATGTACGGCATCTATTTTTTTCTTCAATAAAGAGATTTAATAGCCATTTCAAGAACTCCCATTCAAAAACTTTCTCTATGTCCCTTTTGTTAATTTTCAAGATAATTTAACACTTGTCTAATATTTGTGTGTAAGGGATTAATTTTCAGACCCTTTAAAAGTGAGTGCCATAAAGAATCAATATATAGTGTTTAATAAAGTGATATTTCAGTCTAGGAAGTGATTTCCTTCTCTTGGAATGTGAAGATCTGTCGATTCATCTCCAGTCATCCATACTAACATGCAGAGCAAAGACTACGGTAAAATCAGTCCTGCTAGGTCATATGTAGGACATAATCATCAGTTTTTATTTCCTTTTAACTGCATAGTTGCTATGTGTTTCTCGCTGTAAAAGGCTGCCGCTGGGTGGCAGAAGCCAAAAGACCTTATTAATGAGGCTATATTTTTCTTAACTTGATCTGCAATCCATAATTAGACCACGATGCACCTTTGGTTGTATCCGTATAGGATGCTAGCCTGCCTTGTAGTAATGTTTTATATTAAAAATAAAATAAAGACATCCATCATTTCATATATATCCCACTACTAAAGGTATCCATGGAACATGAAGACTAGTCTTTATGCAGAAGGAAAACAGGAAAACACCTTTGCAAATATGGTTATCTATACACCTGTTTGCATGTCTGTGTATGCGCACAAAATGTGCACATGAAGTGAAAATGAAAATCAGTCATCATTTTACTATGGACTTGATTCCATCCTAACGATTCATGTTTATAACTTAACATGTATTAAATATGCAAGCATATCACAAATGTTCCTTGTCATTTCAAAATACATTTGTTTATCAGTATCCTTAGAATCTTGCCAGTGGGTGGGAAAGGGTCATATAAAAATATGAAGAAATAGCCATATTAAATTTTTACCTGCCATTTGCCTCGGCAACAAAGCAAACATGAGTTTCTAATGTTAAAGATAGAGTAAGCGATTGTGCCAGCAAAGGCCTCTGCTGTTTATAGCACTTCTGACAATAGTTTTGTACAAACTCGAGAAGAACAGACTCACTTGAAAATGGACGCCAGTCACCTCCTTCCCACTACTGAATTCAAAGCAGTAGCAGATAGTAAAGGGATAATCTAAGAATTTTTTAAGATGATTTAATGAGAAGCACAATTTTTATTGTGACCAGTCACACTCTATGAACAGTCAGTGTCTGTCTGTCTTTACCCTTCTGCCTTTTCTGTAAGTCACCACTTACTGTATTTGCAAACCTAGTATGGTTTTTAATCACAGAAAGTCCTTTGTGTCCAGGAGTCTGGGCAGAGTTCTGAGGGATTATTTTAAGTTACCTGGCCTAGAGTAGCATTTTAGACAACATTCATCATTGCAAGTAGGAGAACTGTAAGTGGCGTTTTACATGGCTGCAAGTATTGTTATACCTAGTCCTATTTTAAAAGATTTTTGGTAACAGTAGGCTGAGAACCACTGGTAACGGTGGTGCAGCATATGCAAGCTGCACAACCTGTATGCTGTACGCATTGATGTGAGGAGGCTGTTTAGTTCAACCTTTTTTAAAATTGTGTTTTTTAGTAAAATGGCTTATTTTTTTCCCAAAGGTGGAATTTAACATTTTGTAATGATGAATATGAAAATGCCTGTCATCTTTAGAACACCTAAAGGTTAACTAAAGTGAGAATTGCAAAACAAATCCCAATGCACGTTTTAAGACCATGTCTGCCCTCTCTCACCTCTATGTGTTTGTTTTTGACATACCTACCCTTTACCTTAGAGATACCGTTTTTACTCCTTGATCCCTTTGATGTGTGTCCCACATCCCCAGAGGGTAAATGCTTTGTATTTCTTTCTTTAAATTTTTTTTGAAGAAGAAGCCACTTGAACCTTCAATAAAGGCTGTTGCCTAAGCATGGCATACTTCATCTGCTCTCCTTTGTGCCATCTGCTATGGTGTCGTCACTTATATGGCGTTAATTTCCTGCCACTACAGATCTTTTGAAGATTGCTTGAATACTGGTGTCTGGTAGAATGCTTCAGACTACAGATGTAATTAAAGGCTTTTCTTACTATGTTTTAACCAAAGATGTGGAGCAATCCAAGCCACATATCTTCTGCATTAAATTTGTCCATTTTGGTTATTTTCCTAATCGGGTATTGCATTTTGCCTTCCCTGTTCATACCTCAAATTGATTCATACCTCAGTTTAATTCAAGGAGGTTCGCTAAGTGATGGATCCTGTCGTGATATGAATGCAGCAGTGTACTCTTGGAGCAAAGAGACCCGGGTCACTGTAGGCATAGGACTTGGATTGCTTCAGATGGTTTGCTGTATCATTTTTCTTCTTTTTCCTTTTCTGATGACTTGTTTCCATTCAATGAGAGTAATTAAATAGCTTGTAAATGAGGGCATACAAGCATTTGCAACAAGTATTCAAACAGAGGCTCACAGCGGCATAAGCTGGACTTTGTCGCCACTAGATGACAAGATGTTATACCTAAGTTAAACCACATCTGTGTATCTCAAGGGACTTAAATTCAGCTGTCTGTAGTGAATTAAAGTGGGAAATTTTCAAGAGTTTCTCCTGCTGGAAATAAGGTATAATTTGTATTTTGCAGACAATTCAGTAAAGTTACTGGCTTTCTTAGTGATGCGGTGTCTGTGGTGCATTCTTTCAATCAATGTTTTCTGTCCCAATGATCCCACTTTACCCTGTTTTTTGAGCAACTTATCCCCAAGCACAAATGAGCTTTCTCAGTTTTTAGATCCAAATATATGAAAAGATGGATATTTGTGGTAAGGTGTGAATTGTGTACCAGTTTTTAAGCTAAAGGAATATTCAGCCAGGGTGGGAAGTCAGAGCTTTTTACAGACTGGGGTGGCCTCTTTCTTCAGGCAGCTCCATGAAGATCTTTGCTTGTCTGTTGACAGAATTTCCAGGTCTTTATGAAAGGCATAACCATGAAATAACATTTTTACTAAAATGTATATATTTATTCTCCAGAACCCTTCCTTTTTTGATCAAAATAGCTTTTTTAAGAAGGTTGGAAACATAGTCTTGTATCGAAATATTCGAGTAAACCAGTGGATTCATACATTCTTAAAACTACAAATTATATACATTACTATAATCCAATTATAATTTCTAATGAGTGTTCTTAGAAGATCAATACGAGTCAGTGTACCAACTGTGAAGGAGGAAAGGAAGGCACTGCCAGGCAATTAGACAATATGGACTTTGGTGTTTACAGTGATTCTTGGTCTGAAAAATGAAAGAAAGGCACTTCCTGGAAATGTTGCACAAGGCTTCAAAATTAGCACTGCTCTCTTTAATTGATTTTCGGCAAACGTTATTCGGCAATGATTGTCTGTGACCCCTGTGGTAGCTACCAGGAGTCCCTGCTTTCAGGATTCTTGGTGACTATTGGTAGGCAGAAAGGGTTTTCAGAGGAGCCCAGAGAGGAATGCTTTGACCATCTTCAGAGTAAGGTAAAGACAGGCCCAGCGTGCAGAAGCTTTAATATCTGGTTAGTAGCGAAGCCTTGCCTTGCCTTTTGAAAGGTGGGCAGGATTAAGAAAGGCTCAGAAACATCAAGCAGCCTGATTTAATGACCCCTGGCTCTGCCCAGTGTTGACACTAGTGCTCTGTTCTCACCATTGTGAAACATAATAATGTTTTCTGTGAGCTTGTGTTCTGTAGGCGAAGTGCAGTGGGGCAGTAGAATGTGTGTGTAAACCGAAGACACACACAGGAAAAAGAGAAAGGCTTTCCATGAATAGCTTAAACAAAAGATAACTTTTCCTATGTTTATGACAAGGAGCCCCCCACTTTTTCGTTTCCCACTGGGCTCTACAGTCCTGTCAGCCCCAGGTAAGGATGTCGTTGCACATAGAAGCAGTGAATACAAAGACACTTGACTGAGAGAACAGGACACAGACACATAGAAACTGGAGCCCATTCTATTTCAAATTAAGGAAACTATGAGAAAAAACAGAGATGAGAGATAAGAGTGGGAGAATTGGCTCTGTGCTTGATTAGATCATATCTGTGGGTTTAAAGACTCAATTAACACTGGGTGGTGGTAGCACATGCCTTTGATCCCAGCGCTTGGGAGGCAGAAGCAGGCAGATCTTGAGGCCTGATTGACAGAGTGAGTTCGGGACAGCCAGGGAAACCCTGCCTCAAAAAGAAAAATCAGTTAACTATGGGTGTAGAGGCCTGTGTCTCCAAATTCGAACTCTCCAAGAGGCAGAGGCAGAGGCAGGTGGATCACTATGGGTTTGAAGCCAGCCTATTATATTTGGTTATTTCCAAGCCAGCCAGGGATGCATAGTAAGACCTTGTCTCAAAAAAAGAAAAAAATCAGATGATTATTTTATGAAAACAAGTTGTCAGAATTCACAAAATAAGATTAATGGTTGGCCTAATTATTACATTAAGAATCATAAAAGTTTACATACTAAGCTTAAGTTATTAAGACCCCAATGATCACAAATAGAGAGGCCATAGCCTCATGAGACAATAGTTACTTCAGTGTTCACTGGGTCGACTTTGACCTATGCCCATGAGAATATTATAAATACAAGCTTAAACTCAGAATATCCGTTAATGAAGAAGATAGCTAAGATAATAGTGAAGCCACACCTTTAAGTTGGCTTGTCCGGGAGAAAGGAGAGGAATGGGGTATCCTAGAAGGGAAAGTAGCAGAGAGAATATCTGCAGAGGTGAAAATAAAGTGAAGAAGTCAAGAATGAGCAGTCAGACAAAATGGAAAAGAGAAGCTGTCACAGTCAGAGAGGACAGAAGAAAAAGATACACAGCTATGTACTGGGGTCACAGAGAAATAGGACAGTGGAGAGCATTTTGCCTGCTGTGAGCAGTAACTAAGACAGCCTTTTTGACCAGCTGTAGTGGGAAGCAGGAGAGACCAAAAGAGATTATCTAACAGGTATTATCAAATTTAGGCGGCAAGTATGAACCAAACTCAAAAGTTTTGGTATCAAAAATAAAAGCTTGCATGCCTGCCAGACATGATTGCACACACCTTTAATCCTAGCACTCACAAGACAGAAGCAGGTGGATCTGTGTGAGTTCCATAGCAGCCTGGACTACACAGCAAATTCCAGGCCAGTGTTACATAGTGAAACCCTGTCTCAAAAACAGCAAAAGGAAAAGATCTCAAGTGGCTGGCAAAGTCAAGGACCAATGGAAGGCCTTTTAAAACAGCAGATGATGTCTAAGCAATGTGCAGGACAGGAAAGAGAAGCATAACACTCATAGTTGATGCAGTTGATGCCAGGACATCATCAGTTCCATCACAGCCCCAGACTTGACTCACAGACTAAGGAAGAACCCTAACCCTGACATGCCCATTCCTAGCAGCTAACTTCTGTTCTTGGCCAAATGGAAATGATGATAACCTTTGGTGCAAACACCAGGCTGAATGGGGTTACACTGAGGAGCAATAAGACAATCCCAAGCTAGATGGAGAGTAACTAGGAGAGCCCTTGTTCAGACAAAGCCCATGAGTGACATAGGTTGGATCCCATGCCTGGCCCTCCCTCCCTCCCACAAAAAAAGCAAACAAGTAGCAGTGGCAGGGGAAACCTGGGAAAGCAAAAGAGAAGCTGAAAGGTAGCTGATACTAATATGTACCAACCAACTGTTTTCCCTACAATGAACCTGACCTGAATTTCCCTATTTAAGATACGAGGTTACACTGTACAGCATTCCTAACTCCTGACTGAAAATCAGACCAACTTTGCTCCTGACAAGTAAAGTAAGGCTTTATTTGTTCTCTTTAAACATTGGTTTTCTGTGACTTCCAGGGTCTGGCTCTGGCTCATGTGAGATCATTATGGGAGCTAATCTCTAAAAAGTTCAGGATCTTGCCTGGAGGTGGTGGTGCACACCTTTAATCCCAGCACTGGGGAGGCAGAGGCAGGCAGATCTCTGTGAGTTCAAGGCCAGCCTGATCTACAAGAGCTAGTTCCAGAACAGCCTCCAAAGCCACAGAGAAACCCTGTCTCGTAAACCAAAATAAATAAATAAATAAATAAATAAATAAATAAATAAAGTCAGGATCTCTACTCTTCTCACACATCGCTGAATCACACCGCATAGCACACTGGTAAAAGTAGCTGGAATTTTCCTACAATGACTACAGTGTGCTCTTTTTATTTCCTTGGGGATACTGCATTCATTCTCCAAAGATCATTTGCCATGCCCCTGTTATGATTGATGTTCACAACCTAATTCTTCTGCTCATGGAGAAAGTTGTGCTGTACAGGTATCAAGGCTTCCTGCTGGTGATGCCAAAAGCATTGCATACCCACATGTATTCTATGAGTTTTGCTGTTTACAAATAAGACTTCTGCTTACATATACAAAGCATTTTGTATCCTACCTAACATTTGAATGTGTACTAATTTTGATTAGTATATCTGAAGGGGCCCATCTGTAAAGGAGTGCTGAGGTAAATTGTGATATATCTATATTATGGAATACTCTGCATTGGGGGAGAGGGGCAGAAAACCCCTTTGTGTTAATATGCAAAATTACCAAAACACATAGCTAGATTTTTTTCTTTTGTCTTTATTTCTGTCCTGGAACTTGTTTTATAGATCAGGTTGGCCTCAAACTCAGAGATCCTCCTGCCTCTGCCTCCTGAGTGGTTAAATTAAAGGTGTCTGCCAGCATGCTCAGCAGACATTTTTTTCAGCAATGAAACTGTATATAGACTATGCTGCATTTGAAACAAGAAAGGGAAGAGAAAGCTACTAAATAAAAAAGAAAGGAAGATACACAAACAGACCATATGGTTGTTACCCAAGTGGAAGGGTGGGGATGGAGAAAAGAGTGAATGGAAAGGAAGGTTGATGACGTATAGTTTTTATTTTTGAACTATATGAATATACTATTTTTTTTTGAGGAAAGGTTTCCAATTTGAGAAAAAAAAAAAAAGACATCTTCCCTAAAGCCACTAACTACCCAGTCCAGTGAAAGTGCTCACACTGGAAAATGCTTTGGTAACTGCCATGCTCGGAGAAAAGCTCCAGAGTGATGGCTTCCTTGCCTTCAGAATTGACAAAAGACTAAAGGCTTCAGGTATCACCTGAGATTGATGGAACCCCACCCTTAAGACTGGGAGTTTGATTCTTTACTAACTACGGTACCCGGCCCATTGACTCATGAATGTTTTCTTTGACCTTTCCCAGTCACCTATCTGCACTTTTAAAACCTGGACTCAGAACTCATCCTATGAGGTATGATTACTCTGACTACTCAAGAATCTATTCATCCTATCTAAATATATAATATTAAGAATTTAAAGCTTAATGCCTTATCTAGGTTTCTTGGAACTTAAAGCTGCCTCTTTTTTTCAACCTGTTCCTGTCAGAGACACATTCACCTCTAGCATTTGAACATTAAGAGTATGTCGTCTTCTCCAACTTCTGGGTCCTTCTCATCAGATCTAGTAAGGAGATGATGTTACTATCTGATTTTTCACAATTCATCCATTACATTTCCAAGGTTAGAAGGGTCAAAACTGTGGTTTGGTCCTACTCCCTGTCCTGCCCTCTACATGATCCGTCCTGGTTTCTGCACTTTGGGTGTACACATTTTGACCTTTAAAAATACTAAAGAACT